AAACTTGGATCTCACGCCTACTCACGCCTGTGTTCCGATTTGTCACGCCTGGTAGAAAAGTTTGAGCCATTACAGCATTAACTGACACATTTTGAAAAATACATTAATTACTTAAACAAAGCAGAACCAAAGAGAGAAAAGAAAAGTCTATGTGGATGATCGACTTTCTCCGAATTCTCTTTTTTTAGTAGGGAAGTCAATGTTCCTTTGTGTTCCTGTGTTCCTGTTAGACAGAACTCTCCGTAACATATTTGGAAGTCTTCGGAATGTCTTTGGACATCTTTGGATATTATCGGACCCCTGCGAAAAATCTTGGCACTCTTAAGATAAAAAATGTTAGGCCTATAAATGTAAAAAGGTTGGCAGGTATAGGTGTACTGTACATTTTTTTTAAGTCACGTGCCCAATTTCGTAGCTAGTGCCGGCAGAAATGGAAAGCTACAGAGTGATTAATTTTTTCTCCATTTTTGTGGTCTTCATCGTGTTACCCCTAACAGTGACCAGAATCTAATTTTTCCTCATGATAGCCTTCATAAAGGGTCAATTTCTAGAATGGTCCCTTCGACGTTTTTTTGAACTTTTACAGTCAAAGCTCTGTTAGCAGCCCTCTATTAAGCTGTCACTCTGTATTAAGCGGTCACCTATCAATTTTCCGAAATTTCCTTCCCATATAATTTTTTGGTAAAAATTGACCTCTATTCAACGGCCACCTCTATGAAGCAGAGACGTTCACTGTTTGGATTCCCCAAATGGCTAATTTTATTGTAATTTACCTCCGTCAAATAGTCACCTTGTTACATAAAAATCACTAAATGGCATATTTTTAATCACAAAGAACTCTCGCAGGCACTGAGCAAAGTCGGTGACTTGCTTCACCAAATTTAGTCTGCTACACAGCCTTCTTTAGTGTCGTCACGCAACGCTCCTTCCCACTAACGGCTGCTGAAAACCGAACTACATTCCTTTCCCTTTGTGTTTGTGGTCTAACGAACAAACCAATCATGTACAAGAAATTTGACAATACGTGAGCCGCAGGGCATTAGGAAGCGAGCACGCTTCTCAGTTTTCGACAAATCAATCAATCTTCGCTGAATTTAGACGGGCTCTGTGTTTTCAAGCAACGAAAAGGTTAATTTGCAAAAAAGTTTGTTTTAAGCGGTCAAGAAAGTTCCAAGTGAAAAGAAGGTTTGATAGGCCTAGAAAACTTTTACCAGGATCGGTTGGTTTGTCATTTAACGTGCGTATGTGCTGAAATGTAGTGAAGAATTTAATGCACCGGATGTGCTCACTGTGTTCTGTGAAGACTAAACTCTCAAGGGTACTGAGTCAAAAAGCAATCTTATAAATTATCGATGAGCGATTTCCCAAAACTATACCTGGCAACTTTATGAACACATCCATGTTGTGAATCGTAATTTGCTCGACTTTCTTGCTGTTGCTGCTTCAGCTTACCTCCTAAATTTTGAATAGGACTCGACTACGACAACACTGTAGTTAATTGCTTGTTTTCACGCGACGGTTTTGATTATTCTGTCGTTCACACATGGGGCAACGATAAAAGCAAAGCTGTGATTGGAGGAGTCACAGTACCGCCAAGGTGGCGCGAACACTTTCCAGAAAATGGGAACTGAATTATAATTGGCTAATCACGGGAAAGGAATGTAGTTCGGTTTTCAGCAGCCGTTAGTGGGGAGGAGTGTTGCGTGACGACACTAAAAACGGCTGTGTAGCAGACTACACCAAATTAGGCAACCATAACTGAATTTCTCTCTTCAGGTTGAATGAAGTTTTAAAATTTGCTGATGATGTGCTGGATTGTAAAGACACACTCCCTTATGAACAACATTACTGTAAACATTAAACTTTGTTGTTTACGGCATGAACTCCTCAGAACATCCAATAATGTTGTTGTAAATAGGATAATCAATTTTGCCCTCTAGGCCAATTTCTGCCACATTATGGGTTTAATTTTAGTGGTCACCTCACTAATTCCCGAGGGTGACGGTATACCTGCCAACTCTCACGCCTTAGGCGTGAGTCTCACGCCTGCGGATTGAAAACTTCGATCTCACGCCGGCTCACGCCTGCGGGCCAATTTCTCACGCCTGATTGAAAAATGTGAGTTGTTGCCGTCCTGCTTGACACAATTTCCAAAAATATGTTAACTCAGATCCATGTAAGGAACGAAAACTATGTGTAAAATGAATAAATGACAATACCTTCCTCGCGATCTCTGATTTTTGAAGTGAAAAGCACTGGGAGAGAGCTCGCCTTTGGCAGACTTCGGATGTCTTCGGAAGACTTCGGACGTCTTCGGACTTCTTCGGGAATCTTCGGAAATGATCGTGTCGTCTTCAAAAATCCCAGCACTCCCAGGATAAAAAAAATCTCACGCTTATATCTCAGAAAAAGTTGGCAGGTATATGACGGCTTAATAGAGGTTTGACTGCATGGACCTGTTAGTGAGATCTGTTGACACATTTTACAAAATACAAATTACAGCAGAGAAGTGGACAAGTCTCTGCTTTAATTTGTATTTTGTTTCCATTTTTCCATTTATCAATATTTTCTTAATGCTCACTTCTCCTTCTCCCCTCTTGTTCCCTTTCTTTGTTTGTTGCCATAATTTACTATCACTGCAGTGGAAACTCTGTGGGGACACCCTTGGGACGTGAAAAAAGCTTCCATTTCTAGAGCTGGCCATTTACAAGAATGGTTCTCAGTATGGGAGCTTGCCTGACAACCAATAAGGATAGAAAATGCAAAAAAACTGTTAGTTAGTGTTTGGCTTTAGTGTTGCTCTGACAATGTTGTAATTCAGTCACAAACATAAAATTCAAGTGGTGTTTTGAAGTGTAACTGGTGTGTATACAAAGAAAAAAAAACACCAAGGCTGACATAAATTCATTGTGACGAACAGTGTTATAAAGTTGACTTAATAAGATTCTATTTGCTCAGGTGTTTCAGCTTACGGGAGCTTAAAACAAAGCCAAAATCTAACTCATAAACCCTGAAAGTGTCCACAGCTGCCTGGCACAGAGATTGTCCGCTTATGGGAATGTAAAAATACAGAGTTTTTATGGGAGTTGAAACATGGTTTTTTGAAGGCAGCCATAAGTAGAACTGTTCACTTAAGAGAGTGTCCGTTTCCACTGTATTTCTATTATTCCGGTGAACTTATGCGTCCCGGCCCCCTTTCCCTATGGAACTCCCTTGTCTCCTTTCATCCTTCCCCATGTGTCTTTTGTTTCTGTTATTCTTTTTGCCTATGCTTTTATCTCTGTGTATGCCTCTCACATTGTTCCCTTGCATTCTCTTGTAGCCATTATTTTCCTTCAACAGCTTGTACCTAAAACTCCCTGCTTTCTCTAGTAAACCCCTTCAGATTTCCTGCCCCCTTTTTGCTCTTCTTACCTGGCTTTGTTGTTTCCATTAATATACACCCATTTCAATTAAGGTTGCTTCAGAGAAGAATGATGCGTGATCCATGTTTCATAGCCCACAGTGGATTATTGTAGCATTAGTCTAGTAAATTATGTGCGCGCAACGAGCCTAGAAACCTAGAAAGCAAATGCTGGTGACGCTTCTAAGCTATGTCAGCGGAACGTTAAGACAATGAATTTCAAAACACTGAATCCTAGGCTTTCTAATTTAAGACAGTGATTTGTGGTTAGGGTTTTCTCTGTGGTAATATCCAAATGTAGCAAATTGTCAAAGAATTTGCTTGGCTCGTGCACGTGGGAATTTTGGATGGAGTTTAAAAAAATCAAGTTCAAGATGTTTGTTGAACTACAACAAATAACTTAACATTACGCGTTTATCTATTTTTGAGGCAATTTTTTTTAAAACTGGTTGAAAAAAGAATAGTGTTGATTTGCTTTATTGAAATAACCAGCATTCTGGCCCGTCCAAAAACTTAGCTTAATCAGGCGGTAAAACCCTATTCATTTAATGCTGTTAAAAGAAGAGGCTTCTAATTTCTTAAAAATGAAATTCTTAAGCTCGCTCATGCTTAAGAATTTTAGCAGCCGTTTGACTTGGAAGCTCTCTTGAACGCCTTTTCACAAAATTTTTAGTAGCTAGAATATTTGTAGTCTCCACAGAAATATGGGTGGTGTGCGACAAAGGCAGACTGCAGACTTGCAGACTGGCAGGTAAATGAGGCACATGTTCTTGTGAAATACTCTAACAGGAATCTGTTATAGAATTTCACAATAATGTGAACCTGGTTTACCTGCCAGTCTGCAAGTCTGCAGTCTGCATTTGTTGCACACTGCAATATGGGTGGGGGTAAGTTTCACAACATGTAAAACTTATGGGGGGTCATTTCTATATAAAAAGCTAGGATGAATTTGGGGATTGGTTTGGAAATGTTCTAATCTTTCTCAAGAGCATACTCTTTGTATTTAAAGGAGCTGTGTCACGAAATTTAGCCAAATTAAGAAATTACAAAATGCCTGTCAAATTAAGAGAAACCTATAAATAACTGCTTAAAACTTTAAAGGAAGGTTCAAATAACATAACAGGAACAACAGATGTCACGGATGGGCAAAACTGAAGAAGATTGAAACAGATTAAAATTAGGATTTTTGAAAACTGTTCAGCCTAACAGTTTTTCAAAGTTGACCCCTGCTGCTTGCAACGTCAAAAATAATGCTCAGGAGGCACATTATTTTATTTGTCTCGGATCTCTGATTTTGTCATTTACATGTAATTTCTTTGCTTACTTCAAGTCCCATAGCGATTGAAAAAGCGATTGAAGGCGAGTAATTGGCAAAATGAAACAAAATGAACTGGACTGCCGTGACACAGCCCCTTTAACTCTTGTAAATTGCATTTATCTACATTTTAAATGTCCACTTAGAAGCTTATAAACATTTTTTTTTTGTCTCTGCACAAAGAAGATTATATCTTAAGGAACTTTTGCTGTTGGTGTTAACAGAACTTTTTATTATACAACATGAATATTGTTAAAATATTACTATCTTGCCTAATTTTAGGTGCGACATCCAAGGTCAACATGGAATATCCTCACAAAGGGTACATCTATGTCCAAAGGTACTTAACTGTCAATTAACAGAGTTAGTTAAACTGAAATCAAATTTGACCTGAATCAGTAATCATTATTAATTATTACTGAAAAAAATGAGGCTGAGTAAGATGTGAAGAATTATGCAGGTCAAGGTGTATGTTATCCACTGAGGCTGAAGGCCACATCCTGCGAGATCTGCATCCTGATGGACTGACTGGCCTACTGATTGGCATGCTGACAGACTGACTGACCCACTGACTGACATACTTACTGACTGACATCCTTACATGCTGATTGACTGACAGGTAGAATGACTGACATGTGGACTTGACATGTGGACAGACTGACTGACCTAGTGACTGGCATGCTGATGGACTGACTGACGTACTCACTGACTGTTTGACTGGCTGACTGACTGACTGACTTACTGACCAACTGACTGACTTACTGATTGACTAACTATTCTGACCTACTGATTGACTGTTCAACTGGCTGACTCACTGACTGACTGACTGACTTGCTGACTGACATACTTACATGCTGAGTGACTGATTAACTGACATGCAGAATTACAGATGGTCTTTCTGAGATAGTCATGGGCAGATTAGTTGATTGTTGCTGAAATTGCAAGCTAACTTTCTGACTATTTGAGTCTTGCCAGTTCTCTTGCACTGTTTTCTGACCGACTGATGATGAAAGAGATGTGGTTGACTTTTTGATTACCTGTTCAGACTTACAATCATGACTGAATCAATACAGGGTAAGGGTGTGATTATGGACTAACTAATCGGCTGACTGGGTTAGTCACTGGCTAACTGACTGACTGACTGTCTGGAGAATTGGCCACCTGACTCTATTGATTGAGGGCTCACTGGAAGGCGTAACAACCAATTCACTGCCTGGATGTTTTCATAGGCAGTATAATTATTCTATTGGACTATTTAAACTGAAACTAAGGATGCACTTGCTGACTGTACTGTCTGGGGTCTATTCAGCTGACCCGCTGACTGAATGACTTGGTATTAACTGACTGACTGTCTTTAGACTTGATGACTTAACTCCTCAACTCACTGACTGTTTGAGTTTACTGTGTGGTGTCTGACAACCTAATGCACTGACTGAGTGATGTCGAGTGGACTTCCTGACTGTCCAAGGACTTACTGACCATAACAGGTGACTGAATGATGTGGAACTGCCTTGTGGACTGTTTTAGGGCTTACTTAAGCTCATTCATTGTCCCACTGACTCTACTTTTTGGCGGCTGACTGGCTGACTGTCTAACTCTTTGACTCGATGAATGACTTACTAGGCTGACAGGGTGACTGAATGATGTAGAACTGATTTGTAGACTGTTTGAGGGCTTACTTAAGCTCATTCATTGTGACTTACTGAAGGACTGACAGGCTGACTCTACTGTCGGGGGCTGACTGAATTTAGGACTGTCTTTGGAATTAAAGGCCTTTTCTTTGACTCAATGAATGACTCGTGGGCTGACCCTACTCTCTTGGTTTAAACTAATCTGGGGTGTTCACCCAAATCATGTTCTAAATTTTTCAAAATTCGAAATTCGGAAGCAAAATTATTTCAGATTTTGTTTGAACTGTGGTTATTGATGGTCTACCGGATTACCAAATGGAGAGAATCAGCTGATATAGAGAAAATAGAATATTCTTCTCTGACTCAGGAGAGGAAAGCTAAACTCAGTGCTTTTAGTCCATGACAAACAAATGTGTTTTATAGTGAAGGATACAGAAGTTTCAGTTTTAACTTGAAGAAATGTTCCCTTTGCATATTGTTGATGTGAATTTTATATCAGTTTAGTTTTAACATTATGAGCTGACGTCAACGATGTATGATAGTTTCAGGCATTCCATTTTTCCTTTGTTGTTAATTGCCTTAACATGATGAATTTGTAAATGTACGAAGATATTAGTATTGTACATATTAAAAATTTGACCATGGATTGCAATTGGAAAATAAGGGCATTCGGGATGTCGCCTCTTTCGGGGGCTCTACCAGGGTTGTCAAAAGTAGCCAGCTGCCGGCAAAAATTTCCACCTACTAACTTGGTTAGTATCGGCTGGCTACTCTGCTTGGCATTTCTTTATGGATGGTGTTTTTTAAATAAAATATCCCTGGACTGGTGGCTTACTTTGACAACTCAGCCGTCTACTTCAAAACTTTCTGACAACCCTGCTCACCATTTTCAGGATTTATTAAAAGTCAGAAACTTTTGACGTTACTTTCAGGGGGTCGTAACTTTCAGGGGTCATAACTTTCGGGGGTTCCCTACTATGGAAACTTTATGGTAATGAAATTAGGATGACTGATGTTTTATTTTTGCATTTTATTGGTGCCTTCATAGTCGTATTTCCATAGTATTGTTACTGCACCTAACAATATTATTACATGTTCTTTAGTATTTATTTACTGAAAATGTCCAGTGGAAGACGCAGGGTAATGGCATTTCTGAGAATCTAAATTTAAAAATTTTTCTGCCCCTTCTGACCCCCTGTTTGTACACCTGCAAAATCTCACACATGTCCCAGGGGATCAAATTTGACCTGAATCAGTAATCATGTACATTAAGTAAGGATAAAAAAATAGAACCGCTCTATTTTATTGTATTTTAAATTAAGATAGTTATAACTTGTTGCTTACATTGATTTGTGTTCTTTTGCAGGTCAGATGGATATGCCACAAACAGACTGGAACAAGTCTTCAACATTTAGGATTTTAGAGGTTATCTTGAGTACCATGTAAGTGCTGTATATCATACTTTGTAATCCAGCTCTTGAGTGAACCAGATAAACAGAACGTGGCTGGCTTGTTCAGAAGACAACTTATAATCTAACGCTTCTGTTCAGTTGGATCACAGTGTTATAGATTTAAGCTAAGTTCTGCCACAGTTTAAGCAGTTTTACATCATTTCTATGTGTCAAATTTTTGCACAGTCATTGCAAAAATTTAAAATCATTAATCGTCAATCACCCAATTAAATGGGAAACTTTCAAACAAAGTCCAGAATCACACTATCAACAACATTAATTTACTGAAAGTCTGGCAGAACAAAGGAAAGTACCAGGCTAATTCACCCAACAAAAAGTTAAACTTTTGCAAGTCACTGCAGTACACTGATGTGCATTGAAGTTTCTTATAATCATTCAGTCAAATTAATTTCTTTTTCAACACAGCTTAAATATGCTAAAATATTTTACACCAATGAAAGGTTTCAAATTAAAGATAACAACACAACAGCAAGCCAAGAATTAAAGTTTGTTTATAAAAGGAAAACCTGCAACTCAAACAGGTGACCTCAACTCAGCATCTCAGAAATTGAAAACATTCGTTGAAATAAGCATTTCATCAAAGTTTAGACAGGCTTGTTTTGTCTCAAAAACATTATTTAGAAGTGTAGCCAGGTGAAAGTTCAAATTTTTGACCAAAATCATGGGTTAACCCCTTTTGCAAAAATGCAAATTTTTCGACTTTTTGAAAATGACCTTTTTATAGTTTAGAAAGGCTGGTTTTCTCTCTAAAACATTATTTAGAAGTATAACCAGGTGTTTTCTCTATAAAAACAAACATGCATGAAAGTTAAAATTTTTGACCAAAATCATGGGTTAACCCCTTTCCAAAAATGAAAATTTTTCGACTTTTTTTAAAATGACCTTTTTATAGTTTAGAAAGGTTCGTTTTGTCTCTAAAACATTATTTAGAAGTATTCCAATGTGTTTTCTCTATAAAAAAAGAGATGTATGAAAGTTCAAATTTTTGACCAAAATCATGGGTTAACCCCTTTGCAAAAGTGGAAATTTTTTGACTTTTTGAAAATGACCTTTTTATAGTTTAAAAAGGCTGGTTTTCTCTCTAAAACATTATTAAAAAGTATAGCCAGGTGTTTTTTGAAGAGAAACAGAGATGCATGAAAGTTCAAATTTTTGACCAAAATCATGGGTTAACCCCTTTGCAAAATGCAAATTTTTGGACTTTTTGAAAATGACCTTTTTATAGTTTAGAAAGGCTGGTTTTCTCTGTAAAACATTATTTAGAAGTATTCCCAGGTGTTTTCTCTATAAAAACAAACATGCATGAAAGTTCAAATTTTTGAATAAAATCATGGGTTAACCCCTTTGCAAAAATGCAAATTTTTCGACTTTTTGAAAATGACCTTTTTATAGTTTAGAAAGGCTGGTTTTGTCTCTAAAACATTATTTAGAAGTATTCCAATGTGTTTTCTCTATAAAAAAAAGAGATGCATGAAAGTTCAAATTTTTGACCAAAATCATGGGTTAATAACCCCTTTGCAAAAATGGAAATTTTTTGACTTTTTGAAAATGACCTTTTTATAGTTTAAAAACGCTGGTTTTCTCTGTAAAACATTATTAAAAAGTATAGCCAGGTGTTTTTTGAAGAGAAACAGAGATGCATGAAAGTTCAAATTTTTGACCAAAATCCTGGTTTAACTCCTTTGCAAAAATGCAAATCTTTCGACTTTTTGAAAATGACTTTTTTATAGTTTAGAAAGGCCGGTTTTCTCTCTAAAACATTCTTTAGAAGTATTCCAAAGTGTTTTCTCTTTAAAAAGAGACATGCATGAAAGTTCAAATTTTTAACCAAAATCATAGGTTAACCCCTTTGCAAAAATGCAAATTTTTTGACTTTTTGAAAATGACCTTTTTATAGTTTAAAAAGGCTGGTTTTCTCTGTAAAACATTATTAAAAAGTATAGCCAGGTGTTTTTTGAAGAGAAACAGAGATGCATGAAAGTTCAAATTTTTGACCAAAGTCCTGGTTTAACTCCTTTGCAAAAATGCAAATTTTTGGACTTTTTGAAAATGACTTTTTTATAGTTTAGAAAGGACGGTTTTCTCTCTAAAACATTATTTAGAAGTATTCCAAAGTGTTTTCTCTATAAAAACAAACATGCATGAAAGTTCAAATTTTTGACCAAAATCATGGGATTAGCCCTTTGCAAAAATGCAAATTTTTCGACTTTTTAAAAATGACCTTTTCATAGTTTAGAAAGGTTGGTTTTGTCTCTAAAACATTATTTAGAAGTATTCCAAAGTGTTTTCTCTATAAAAACAGACATGCATGAAAGTTCAAATTTTTAACCAAAATCATGGGTTAACCCCTTTGGAAAAATGCAAATCTTTTGACTTTTTGAAAATGACCTTTTTATAGTTCAAAAAGGCTGGTTTTCTCTTTAAAACATTATTAAAAAGTATAGCCAGGTGTTTTTTGAAGAGAAGCAGAGATGCATGAAAGTTCAAATTTTTGACCAAAATCCTGGTTTAACTCCTTTGCAAAAATGCAAATTTTTCGACTTTTTGAAAATGACTTTTTTATAGTTGAGAAAGGCCGGTTTTCTCTCTAAAACATTATTGAGAAGTATTCCAAAGTGTTTTCTCTATAAAAACAGACATGCATGAAAGTTCTAAATTTGAACCAAAATCATGGGTTAACCCCTTTGCAAAAATGCAAATTTTTTGACTTTTTGAAAATGACCTTTTTATAGTTTAAAAAGGCTGGTTTTCTCTTTAAAACATTATTAAAAAGTATAGCCAGGTGTTTTTTGAAGAGAAACAGAGATGCATGAAAGTTGAAATTTTTGACCAAAATCATGGGTTAACCCCTTTGCAAAAATGCAAATCTTTCGACTTTTTGAAAATGACCTTTTCATAGTTTAGAAAGGTTGGTTTTGTCTCTAAAACATTATTTAGAAGTATTCCAAGGTGTTTTCTCTTTAAAAACAGACATGCATGAAAGTTGAAATTTTTAACCAAAATCATAGGTTAACCCCTTTGCAAAAATGCAAATTTTTTGACTTTTTGAAAATGACCTTTTTATAGTTTAAAAAGGCTGGTTTTCTCGGTAAAACATTATTAAAAAGTATAGCCAGGTGTTTTTTGAAGAGAAACAGAGATGCATGAAAGTTCAAATTTTTGACCAAAATCCTGGTTTAACTCCTTTGCAAAAATGCAAATTTTTCGACTTTTTGAAGATGACTTTTTTATAGTTTAGAAAGGCCGGTTTTCTCTCTAAAACATTATTTAGAAGTATTCCAAAGTGTTTTCTCTATAAAAACAGACATGCATGAAAGTTCAAATTTTTAACCAAAATCATAGGTTAACCCCTTTGGAAAAATGCAAATCTTTTGACTTTTTGAAAATGACCTTTTTATAGTTCAAAAAGGCTGGTTTTCTCTTTAAAACATTATTAAAAAGTATAGCCAGGTGTTTTTTGAAGAGAAACAGAGATGCATGAAAGTTCAAATTTTTGACCAAAATCCTGGTTTAACTCCTTTGCAAAAATGCAAATTTTTCGACTTTTTGAAGATGACTTTTTTATAGTTTAGAAAGGCCGGTTTTCTCTCTAAAACATTATTTAGAAGTATTCCAAAGTGTTTTCTCTATAAAAACAAACATGCATGAAAGTTCAAATTTTTGACCAAAATCATGGATTAAGCCCTTTGCAAAAATGCAAATTTTTCGACTTTTTCAAAATGACCTTTTCATAGTTTAGAAAGGTTGGTTTTGTCTCTAAAACATTATTTAGAAGTATTCCAAGGTGTTTTCTCTTTAAAAACAGACATGCATGAAAGTTCAAATTTTTAACCAAAATGATAGGTTAACCCCTTGAAAAAAATGCAAATTTTTTTTGACTTTTTGAAAATGACCTTTTATAGTTTAAAAAGGCTGGTTTTCTCGGTAAAACATTATTAAAAAGTATAGCCAGGTGTTTTTTGAAGAGAAACAGAGATGCATGAAAGTTCAAATTTTTGACCAAAATCCTGGTGTAACTCCTTTGCAAAAATGCAAATTTTTTCGACTTTTTGAAAATGACTTTTTTATAGTTTAGAAAGGCCGGTTTTCTCTCTAAAACATTATTTAGAAGTATTCCAAAGTGTTTTCTCCATAAAAACAGACATGCATGAAAGTTCAAATTTTTAACCAAAATCATAGGTTAACCCCTTTGGAAAAATGCAAATCTTTTGACTTTTTGAAAATGACCTTTTTATAGTTCAAAAAGGCTGGTTTTCTCTTTAAAACATTATTAAAAAGTATAGCCAGGTGTTTTTTGAAGAGAAGCAGAGATGCATGAAAGTTACGATTTTTGACCAAAATCCTGGTTTAACTCCTTTGCAAAAATGCAAATTTTTCAACTTTTTGAAAATGACTTTTGAGAAAGGCCGGTTTTCTCTCTAAAACATTATTTAGAAGTATTCCAAAGTGTTTTCTCTATAAAAACAGACATGCATGAAAGTTCTAATTTTGAACCAAAATCATGGGTTAACCCCTTTGCAAAAATGCAAATCTTTTGACTTTTTGAAAATGACCTTTTTATAGTTTAAAAAGGCTGGTTTTCTCTTTAAAACATTATTAAAAAGTATAGCCGGGTGTTTTTTGAAGAGAAACAGAGATGCATGAAAGTTGAAATTTTTGACCAAAATCATGGGTTAACCCTTTGCAAAAATGCAAATTTTTCGACTTTTTGAAAATGACCTTTTCATAGTTTAGAATGGTTGGTTTTGTCTCTAAAACATTATTTAGAAGTATTCCAAGGTGTTTTCTCTTTAAAAACAGACATGCATGAAAGTTCAAATTTTTAACCAAAATCATAGGTTAACCCCTTTGGAAAAATGCAAATCTTTTGACTTTTTGAAAATGACCTCTTTATAGTTCAAAAAGGCTGGTTTTCTCTTTAAAACATTATTAAAAAGTATAGCCAGGTGTTTTTTGAAGAGAAACAGAGATGCA